ATTAGATGATTTTGTAGCAACATATAACATGTTAACAAGATTGACTTGTCCAGTTAACGGAACCGTACCTCAGCGTAACGAAGAGCGTCACCAGAAGCCGCCTCCAACTGTGCCTGCAGATCAAATAGGTCAGTAGGAATGGTGGTGCTATCACTGCCAAAGTGGAGACAAACGAGGCGGAGCAGAGGGTGCACATCCATCGATGTAGCCAATGACGCTTTTGCCGGTGCTTGCGTTACCGCAGCACCCAGCAAACGAAGATTCTCAATAACCTCGGCCAACGCATTAAACTCAACTCGCAGTGCCTGAAGCTATAGAGGAAGGGATGGGGGTAAAAAACAGACTTCACGGACCGCATGAAAGACCTCAGCTTACTTTCTGTAAGTCCAGAGTCTGTTTGGCAATTGGCACCTTTTGCACATATTGTGGTTGTGCTCGCGCCTTCTCCATTGTCTCGATGACTTTGCGGATTTGTCCCAATCGCTGTTCTGCTCGCTCCTCCTCGGCTCTGGCATCGATGCGTCCTACGAGCCGAAGGTAGAGTTGACAAGTGGCCACTGAATCGCCTTCTGAAATCATCTTTCTATCCACTGCTACTGCAGGAACCGATTCCTCCAACTCTTTCTCATCCCCTTCCTCCGTTTCAGGCTCTATTTCCGATGAATGATCTACTTGAGCGTCGATTGCCGACACGGTCGCCATTATGCAGCCAGAGGTGTCAACTATAGAAAGGAACGACGATGAAAATCAGAGTTTCTTTAACTGTAACATGGAGTGCACGGTGTAAAATGAAGCTTCGTCTTCCAATCGAGAAATCGATCCAAGCCGATGATGCCAAAGCAACCATGAATCCGCTGAAAGGCAAGTGTAACGGTGTGGGAACTGGCAATAATTTAAAACAGGTCGAATAAAACAAACTATCCAAAAAAATCTACTACTGTCAGCCTAACAGGGAGCACAGCACAACTGAAGTGGATAAACATAGAACACAACAGAGAGGGAAGTGGAGTAGGGAAGACTACACACTTTGAGATTTATCCGCGACCATGGCAGTCACCCGACATTTCCCAAGAGGTACCACTAAATCATCAAGGAAGGTTCCAGAGCGGAGAGCGGCAAGAGTAGTCTCGGGAGCAACTAATGCAGCTTCAGGAATGTCATCGTTGGTGACACGGAGGTTGTAAGTGGAGTAGAGGGAGCGTAACCGATGCACCAGACTAAAAGCCAACTGGAAACCCACCGCTTCAGAGGTCTCAATTGCTTTCCATCTGGACACCTTGAAATGAAGTAGAGGTAAGAAAAGGAGCTGAGCCCATGGATGAAATGCGAAGAGAGGAAAAAGACCTCGTCTGAAGTGGGGTAAGGAGTAACACAGATCGAAGGCGGATCAGTGGCGGGATTGCGACGAGGCAGGCGTTGAAAAAGCTCCTCCGTGACATAGGGCATGAAGGGGTGCAGAAGACGCAGACCAACATCCAGACAGGTATAAACGATGTGACGAACTGTCTCTGCTCGCTTCGACTCCACACTCTGCGTTGACTTTACCAACGGTTTGGAATACTCCTGCGGCAAAGAAAGACAGTTACGTCGAGAAATTCTAACGGCAAAATTGCCTAATGAGGACAATGGACAAGGTAGCGGAATAACCACAAAACTAGGAGTCCCTTAGCTCTACATGATTTGAGATTACACTTTCCTAAAAAAGCGAGACTTATGCAAAAATAGGATCCTACCAAATAGACATCACAGAACTCATAGAGCCAGAAGTTGTAGCAAGCAGTGGTCGCGCGGGTGAAGACGTAGTTGGCAAAACCCCAATTACTTTCCTCCACAGCAAAAGAGAGGCGTCCAAGAATCCATCTATCGGTGCCCGAGAGAGACGCAGCGGTAGGGACCAGAGACGACGTTGAAGTAGGCGGCGTATAGCCCTCACGGAGGCAGTGATACATAGCATACCTTTAAAAAATTGATATTAACGGCATTCAGCATGAAAGGGGACCTTTAAAGTTCCAACACAGTGTGACACTTGCCTAACCGCATTCCACAGCTTGTTACAGAAGAACCGATAGCCCTGTACTCGCAGAATATTCAGATTGATACTTCTCGCGCGAGTGGGATATGAAAGCAAAGCGAACCGCAGCGCATCAGTTCCACACTCTGGAATGCCTTGCGGGAAGTCCTTCGCCTGCGCTGCTGTCGCCCTCTTCAGCTCCGAAGGATCCAGGTTGCCCGTTAGCAGCTTTGCCTGCAGATCTAGCAATCGTAATAGTGAGGAGGAATGGATACCTACCTGGCAAGGAGATGCCATTGACCACATCCATAGGGTCGATGGCATTGCCAAGTGACTTGGACATTTTCTTGCCATGGGCGTCACGCACCATTGCGTGGAGGTAGACATGATTAAACGGCAGACGTTGAGTGAGAAAAAGACCAGCCATGACCATACGTGCTACCCAGAAAAAGAGAATGTCATGCCCTGTTTCAAGGAGAGTTCCAGGGTAATAGAGCGACAGATCAGGCGAGTTATTGTCCGGCCATCCGAAAACGGAGAAGGGAAATAGAGCGGAGGAGAACCAGGTGTCTAGGACATCCTCGTCTTGCTCCAGACGGATGGTGCTAGCCGCATCAACGTCAGAGACTTGGAAACGAGACTTGGCATGAGCCATAGCTTCTGCCTCATCGCGACCGACCACCCAGGAGCTGTTGTTCGAGGGCTGATTTTGGATGGTAAAATAAGATTCGGTAATTCATTTTGGGCCATACTGGTGCACTATTATACAATACGCAAAGATTCAACATTTCTTTAGTCAAGCAGCGTAATGGAGAATTAGAGCGGCTTAGAACTGCAAACCATTGGCAGTGAGGAGATAAGAATGGAAAAGCTCACATCAAGGGACTGAAACTCCCCCGTATCTCTAGACCTTAGAGAGACCCTGTATGCCGGTATGCGATGGCCCCACCAGAGTTGTCGCGAGATGCACCAGTCGTGACAATCGCGGAGCCAGGCATACCAAGTGTTAACGTAGCTCGGCGGAGTGATGCCTAGTTGACCTGAGCGCACAGCCTCTACGGCTTGAGCCGCCAACTCAGTGCACCGCACATACCACTGGGGCTTTAGCAGTGGTTCGATAACGTCTTTGGTACGAGAGCACAGAGGTACTACCATAGGGTTGTCAGACTCGCCTCGGTAGAGCCCGCGATCAACTAGAGCGCGGTGGACGGCAATGCGAGCCTCAAACCGCTTCAATCCTGACAACAGAGAATCGAATGAAAGAACAGTGATTGTTTGAGATTCAACATTTTACCACCCCAAAATCTCTTATGAATTTATGTAGAGAATTAGACAACAAGATAACGAGGCAGAGGACGCACCAGCAAAGGGTCCGGCAACTTCGGTCATGATCCCATTCTCATCAATGCAGGTCAGGAAGGGAAGGTTGTGGCGCAGTCCTACCTCATAGTCGGTAGGATCGTGAGCAGGAGTCAATTTAACCGCACCCGTACCGAAATCGCGCTCCACGAAGGCGTCTGCAATTATGGGCAACCGACGTTCTGGCACCGCAAATGGATGCAGAGCGTAGCGACCGATCAGATGCGAGTATCGGGGATCCTCAGGGTGCACGGCTATACCAGTGTCGCCTAGCATTGTCTCCAAACGGGTAGTTGCAACTACTATCTCCTCATTCGAAGTGCTGTCTGGAGAACGAATAAAAATGACTCGTAGATTAGATTAATTAGAAAAAAATCTCCCCACAGCTGCATGTGCATGAGGAATTTAATTGAACCTCCAAGAAAGGAGTGCACATAAAGATCAGAAACCTGCAATATGATTGGCCTTCAATGCACAGTCATGGGTGGTTTCTTTCTAGAAGTGTTGAAGATACGGATTTGCATCCAGGGCTAGATGGTCCTGCGCAAATTGCAATTCTCATTGTCTTCTACACCTTGGCCATCATATTGGTAGCACTGCACCCTGGTTAGGTCACGAATTCTAATCCTTCCACACATTACAAACACAATTTCAAATTAACAAGGCACTGTCCTCGGATGACTATCGCATGTAAATGAAGAGCCATAATCAAAACCTTTGAATAAAAATTTGAACATGAAAAGATTTTCGCCATGTGAAGAGACACCAAGACTAACCAGCAATGGGATAGGCAAAGGAAGTTAGAACACCAAAGGTCACGGGCTTAGAGTAGCCGGGTACAGACAAAGCTGTGCGACCAGTGAGCTCCACCTTGTCCACCTCGATATCGGAGATGGCGGACTGGAGGGTACAACACCAGTTAACCAACCTTTCTTTGCGGTAGATGAGGTTGCCTTCGTACATGCGTACAAAGGCCTCCGTGACAGCGCGAGAGAGACGCGGATCCATGGTGAAAGCAGCGCGAGACCAGTCACAGGAACTACCCAGTGTACGAACTTGGTGGTAAATGTTGTCACCCTTCCTGTCAGACAATTAGCAAATGGAAATCGGCTTTCAGTAAACGGTTAGGCAGCGGGAAGCCTTCAAGTCATGAGAAGGGATTAGTCTGAATGGTTGAGGCTCGACTACCAGAAACCTTAATCACATTACATTCTAACTTCTAGTCAGCTTAAACTTATGGACTCACTGTTCTTTCCATTTCCACACCTCTTTGACGAAAGCCTCTCGCCCGATGTCGTGCCGAGTGACTTGCTGATCGCGCCAGAGCTTCTTCTCCACCACAACCTAAAATACGATCACAAAAGACAAACTCAACCACCTTTTACCATCACCTGACTCTTAAGCCTAATAGTCCATGTAGTGCTTCAAAGTGTGCATAAGTGAATACAGCTTTACACGAAAAGAACTGGACCTGCATTCCTACTTCGATGATGATGACACACTGGATCAACCATATTACTAGTACAGTTATCTTTCCATCTACTTAGCATGAAGTCGATGTCCTAT